TTAGACGGTTTAAGGAAAATTTATTATTGGAAAATGTTATTAAGAAGTGCGAATATTATTTTGAATACAGTGGTTAGGATACATAATTGAAGCATATTGATGATGTCCTTTTTACCCTATATTGGAATATTCCTAAACAGAAATATTTTTTCTAGAGACGTATATTGAGAGGATTTTTCCTAATCTCACACAACTACACTATAAATTAAGATATCAAAAATAAGCAATTGGCTCTCGTCAGGTCTGTGGCCTGAACATAATTTGATGGTGATCGAACAATTAAACGGCCTTTGGTGCACTATTTAAATTAAATCGGCTGAAACTATATATGGGAACTATATTTTAACAGCATTCAATCAGATCTGATACTCGCCCTCCAATACATATTGCCTTATATTAGGTTGGGGAAAAATAAATCCATTATGTTTTCGGCAGATGGCTGTACTGATAGATTTATTGTAAAGTATCGATCTAACATTTGACATTTCGCAATAAAAAATTATTTTGCTTTTTTTTGTTCATTCTGTTGTGAGTTACAGGGTGTTAAAAATTTAAATGAACAAAAAAACAATTCGGTACATTTTTCAGTTTTTATTTGAGAAAGGCGAAAATGCAAGTCAAGTGGTTAAAATTGGGAATGCAATTTTGGTTTCGTAGATTTCGTTCAGGAATTTTTAATGATAAAAACGAACCTCGCGCAAGTAGGCCGGTCGTCGAAAATGTCGATAAAATCAGAGAAATAATCGAAGATGACCGGCATGTTAGCTGTCGTAACATCACTCAGGTGCTAAAAATCTCCCTTAAAACTATTTTAAACCATTTACAATTGATCAGAAACGGCCAGAATTAGCCAACAGGAGAAGTGTCGTGTTCCACAAGGACAACGCTGGGCCACACACATATGCAGTGACTCGATAGAAACAGCTGGAGCTTGATTGGGAGGTTTTAATGAATCCGCCATACAGTCCGGACTTGGCATCAAGCGATTATCATCATTTTCTTGCAGGACTTCTATGAGAGGGACATTATGAACTTACCTTTAATATGGAAACAAATCATACAACAAAACGGTGCATATTTGTACCAAATCGGACATACCGAAGCATGTTAAATAAAGTCCTATAGTCCGTATAAAAACAATAAATTTCTTTTTCTCCAACCTTATATATGAGAGAGAGAATATATAAGAACTTAAGGATTATATTTGGCGATTTTAACCAAATTTGGCACGCCTCGCTCTAGGGTGTGTCAACTTTAAATCAAGAAGTATAATGTTATTTGTGCTACAATTACAATTACCTAACTTGATCCAATATTTACTGACAATCATATTGTCGTTGCGACTATGTGAGTTATAGCTGAATCAGAACCGATGTTTGCCAATAGTAATAGTATTCGTCCTTGGGGCAATGATAGGTGGTGTGTAAAATTACGTTACAAATATACAGAATGGCAGGACATTCTTCAGTCCACATAAATGGTAAAAAATCATGGTTTTCAAAAATCCCAGTTATTTTAACTTTATTTTTTAAAGAAAATATTGGACGACATAAAAAATCATAAAACAAAATCCAACTAATTAAGTTCGGCTGGACCGAACTATTTATACCATCTACAATGAGGTGGATATTTAAAACATCATTAATCGTCATTAATTGCGGGTTATGACAGTCCAATTTTTGGTACGAAGATATGAGACAGCTGAATACGTTATCCTGAAAAGTAGACCGAAGTCGATATTTTTTGTAGGGAGATTCGGTATTCATTGGAACTCAAGCACCAAATTACAGTCAATTCGATTCAAAAATGTGCCCAAAATAATGGGGCGTGGCGTTACATGTGGGACGTACAAGTAAATCAATGTTCATAATTTTAATAGAAAGATTTGGTACCAAATGAGTCAATTCGGTTGAAAATTTTGCCCAAACTCTCAAAAATACCGAAAAATGGGATCTATCATAAAAAGTGGGCCGATTTTTAGTAGGGAGATTTTATTTTCAATGAGAATTCCAAATACTAAATGAACAGCCTTTTTGCTTGAAGAAGTTGTCCAAACTCCCAAAAATACAGAACAATGAGGAGTATCGTTTTATGGGAACTATCATAAAAGTGGGCCGATATCAATAATTTTTGGTAGGGAGATTTGGTACCCAATGTGAGCTATACTCTGCGTGGACCGATATATAGCATTTTCAATACCAAACATACTAGGAGTAGTAACTATGTATGTGTAAAATGTCAATGCTACTTTATCATACATATTGCGGGTCCTATCGTGATTTCAACAGATGGACAGACAAGAGGACATGCATAAATCAGCATATATTTTTAGCTGTACTTATGGTGGAGAATATGATATGCTTTTGATGTTGGAATCTTTGAGGTTTTTGAAAGGATCCGAAAAGTATTAGATTTTGCGAGTTCGTACACAAAATGGCGAGATCGGGAACTATAGTCTTCCCTGCCATACGAACATTGCCATACATTCCCCACTAATAAATGTATGTTTTTTATAAACAAACTGGGATTCAGCCTGATTATTTTGCAAAAAGAAAATACAAATGGTATCCCAAATAACCCGCCTACACTCCTGAAGGTATCCCACAATTTTTTTTGCCTGAAGTCTTGGGAGAAGCTCGAAAAAGGAAGGAGAAAATCGAATCATTGTTCACCACGACATTGAGAGCTTTTCTCACCCATCTGCTCATTTCAGTGCCATTTTGACTTGTTAATCAATGAATTCGTTTTATTCGGGCATATAAAGCAAAAATGCGTAGCCAGTGATTGTCGTAACTGGGAAGCGTTGTGAGGTTTACTATCGAAATATTGCAATATTGAGTGGAAGTTTGAAGTACTTTAAGAGTAGAAATCGATTTGTCATATAGAAATAGTTGACATGTGAAGGATATCCAAAAGGACATAAAAACTTTTCGTAATTTGATATAATTCCAATCTTACACATAACCGCCATACAGTTTAAGCACTTTTTCATTTATTTGATCTCAGGAATTTTGAAGGTCTAGAACCGGAATTTTGGCAGAAAATATTTTCTTTGGAAAAATGTTTCATTGAAGATATAAAAGCGTTTGATCCATCCGAACTAATCGTAATTTTTAGCAGCCTGGCCTTAATTTTCAGCAGCCAGACCTTAAAGGTTTTTTTTCATTACATGGTTGTGTAGGTCCCGCCCAATTTTTTGGTATTTTGAAGATTTTAGTCGCATGTCCTCAGGTCTAGCCTTAGCATTTTGAGTTACTGATGATTTTTTTATTTCAAAGCCCACTTTCAAAGGTCAAACTTAATTTATCTTAAAAATCCTAACCTAATTTGGAATATAAGTGGTTTTAATATGGAATTTAATTTGTTCAGAGTATAAAAAGCTCCTAACAGAGAATTTAAAGTATAAATTTATATTTTGATGATATGATATATGAGGGTCCCTACCCACTCTTGAGTATTTTGAATGTCAACCTCATTATAGATTTATAATACGTTCGGCGAGATTAATCTTAACGACGCTATTACTCGCTATTTATTGAACAAGGGTGTCATTTTAAAGGACCTCTTGGATTCTGCAAAACTTTGCAATTTTTCTTTTATCGAATTTTCAAGGAATATATTTGTGTGCTCGATGTTATGTCTAACGAAATATCTTTTATTTTTCATTTACTAATCACAACTATAACGGCATCATTTTTATGCGATATTTTTACGTATGTACAATTACTATATTTCGGTAGGAAAATGTTCTTAGTGTTTTCTTAAAAGATATCTAAGAATATATCGAAGGTAATTTTATACTACATATAAAAAGTATTTTTTATGTGAATTTATAAGTGTTCTCCATAAAATATATTCTTAATTTAGATCTAATAATCCAAAGATTCCTACCAATAATCTTATAATAATAATATCCCATGACTCCTACTTTCATAAAAATTCCACATGACCATAATAACCTGGAAAAAATGGCAGGAATTTGTTCGTTATCCTTCTACACTCACTGTATTCCGCTGATACCCTGTGTAACCCAAAAGGAGATCAACGGAAAAAAAACAAAAGCAACAAAACACAATTGTTTTCCTTTCACATACCAACACGATTACAAGACGAAGTAGAACAAAGAAAAAAAAATGAATATAAAATCACAAGAAAAAACAATGGTATTAAGTTTTTTTCTTCGTCATCTTATCCTTCGACCACGCTGTAGTGGTCTGGTCCTTCTTCTGATGTTTATTGTTGTTGTTGCTATGGCAAATTGATTTAATGCATAAACTTTGCTTTTAATATTCTTTACTCCTTCGCCTTATGGCTTCAATAAAGTTGCAAGGTGGGGGTCATATACGGGCGGGCAGGTTGGTGTGAGAAGCACAGTCTGATAGTTGTTTCCTTCCACCTTTCCTTCCCTTTTTTTTGAGTTTTCCTTCTTGCAAATCCTTTGAAGTAATAACAGCGGTGTGTGTGTGGTTATTTTCTTTAGTTGTTTTACTTTTTTAAAAAAGATTTTTTTCGAAGAATTATTTTATGGAATTTTATGGCTGGTATGGTATGTTGCTGCTGCTGCAGCTATTCGTTGGGGTTTAAGTTTTTATGTCATTGACAATTTATTTTTGTTTAACCGAACCGCACACACTTTACACACAGAGCAGAGCGACCGAACGGCCGCCCACCTCCATTGGGGGTTTTTATGCTATTTCCCTGAAACTTTTTTATTTGGTTTTAGTTTCAAGTTGAAGGAAGTTTTTCCTCCTCTTATATGCATTTTCTTTTTTTGTAGTTGTTGTTGTTGCTTTGCCAAGATAAACATGAACATTTTTGTCAATATTTTTTAAGCTTGCAAAGAATTTTCTTCTTATTTATGAAGAGCGAGAGAAAGAAGTTAGTTTTGAGTAGTTTTAACGCTAAGCCATGGATGACTCTAGGGTTGGATCAGGTTAAAGGGAATTTCACTTTGCGTTCTGGGTTTGGTTTTTTGTTCTTTCTTGTTTTTGTAGTTAAAAATGATTTCCTTCCTTGGTAAGTCTTGTACGTAATACCAAGTTACTAATCTGTTGTTGACAGCTGTCATAAGTTTTAGAATGTTTACAAATTCAATTATGAAAAATATCTTTTGTTTGAAAATGGGAATGAAAAAAATAATTATTTCTCTAAGTTTAATTTCAACAATTAATCTAAGAATAATAAAAATAATATTTTTTAAAAAAACCCACATTAAAGTAAAAATAATTTCTCTTTTCTTTTTGCAGATGATGAAAACTCCCACATACATGCCATACTTACCAATGACAACCTAATCGATGGCACCATTGAAACACCCACTGAACAATATTATATAGAACCATCACACCGCTATTCATCGGATCTGCATGAATCGGGTGTGCACACGATTATCTATAAGTTAAGCGATGTAGATCAGCCATCAAAATCATCAAAGGCCGAACACTGTGCCAGTGAGCGACTCAAACGTAGTATGTTAATGGATGACCTGAAACGAAGAAAGATCAATGAAAATGGAGATGAAGAGTTGAGAGGAGGCTTTGGTGGTAATTTGAATTCACAAACAAAAGAACGTGTCAAAAGATGGCTGCCAGAAGAGGTAAGTTATCACAAAAACTCTAAAAATAATATTTTTATAGGACAAAGAAAAAAATTGCTCATCCAATAAAGGATACTTTTTCCACTATGGGAGACTTTTCGTCTGTAACTGAGGAAGACTTTTCTCTATAGAAAAAATGTTTCAATTGAAAAAATTTCTCTGTTACTGAGGAAACATTTTTTCTTTAGAAAAAAAATCCTCAGTTACGGAAGAAGACTTTTGTATAGAAAAAAATCAGTTACTGAGCACAATTTTTTCTATAAAAAGTCTCAATTACTCAGAATAGTTTTCTTCTATAGAAAAACATTCTCAGTTACTGAGGAGACTCTTTTCTATAGAAATAAATTCTCATTTCGTGAGGAGATTTCTTCTCAATAAAAGAATATTCACAGTTACATTGTCGACTTTTTCTATAGAAAATCGTTCAGGAATAAGGGAGATTTTTTCTACAGAAAAACAATTCGTCGGTTACTTAGGAAAACTGTTTTTTCTATATCCTCAATTTCTGAGTCAGGCTTGTCTGAAGAAAAATTCGTCAGGAACTTTTTCTGAGGATAACTTTTTGTCTATAAAAAATAGTCAGAACTTCTTCCTAAGGAAGACCTTTTTATGTAGAAAAAATAATCGTCAGGACTACTTCATGAGGAAGACCTTTTTTCTTAGGAAAAAAAATCTTCAGAAACCTGAGGAAGAGATTTTTCTATTGAACAAAAAAATCAGGGTCCTGAGGAAGAATATATAAATCACCAGGATCCTAAGGAAACATTTTTTAAAGAAAAATTGTCAGTACTACTTCCTGAGGGAACCCCATATTTTTAGGGATGCTTCCTGAGGAAATCTATTTTTCTATTCGAAAAATTCGTCAGGAATGCTTTCTAAGGAATTATATTTTCCTATATAAAAAAATCGCCATGAAGCTCCCTGAGGAACCCCGTTTTTCTATAGGAAAAAATTCGTCAGGAAAGGTTCCTGAGGAAGTTTATTTTTCTACAGAAGAAAAAAAATCGTCAGGAAAGCTACCTGGGGAACTCTGTTTTCCTATACAACAAAAATCGTCAGGCTTCTCGAGAAAGTCTCTTTAAAAATCGTCGGGAATGCTTTCTGAGGAAGTCTATTTTTCTATCGAAAAAATGCATCACGAATGCTTCCTGAGGGAGTCTCTTTTTTTAGAGAAAAAAATCGTCAGGAATGCTTTCTGACGAAGTCTCTTGTTCTATAGACTTCAGGCATGCTTCCCGAGAAAGTCTCTTTTTCTATAGAAAAATTCGTCAGAAATGCTTCATATTCTATAGAAATAATTCTTTAGGAATTCTTCCTGAGGAAGTCAGTTTTTTATAGAAAAAATCGTCAGAATTCTTCCTGAGTTCTTCAAAAGCTCGTCGTCAGGAATACCTGAAAAATAATTTTCTTTATCATTATATTGGTCTTATAAATTTTGAAATTTGATTTGCATTTGATCTAAGGATTTTCTCCTAAAGTCATTATCCTTATTAAGACTCAAAAATACAAATAATTGCATATCAAATTGACTTCTTTAGCATTTCGCATATCATCATCTTCTTCAAAATATTCTCACGTACAACACTCATCAGACTATGTTATTATTCAGCAGACACAGAAAAAAGAACATCATTACCTTTTGCTTTGTTTTTGTTGTTTCCAGCTGACAGGATTTTAGGTACATATGTCTGTCTGTACGATATCCGTACTCAAAGTCAAATAATTCTTCGAGACATATTCGATAATATATTGTCTGTTGTGTTATGAAAATTTGCATATTTTCGTGACTTATGTATAGAGAGTGTGTGGGTGACACACACACGTTTCTGAAATTCTTGGTTTTTGCATTTTTTTTATTACTTCCACTTTTTTGTGAGTTTGTCACCATCCAATAGAACAGAGGCATTGATGCTGTTGACGTTGGAACAACACTTCTTGCCCAAATATTAAATATCCTTAAAAGGCCGTATTATTGAGTGCAGGTGTTCGTTTTTGTTTTTTTCTGACAGAAGAGCAGTCAGCCACATAGCCATTTACTGGCTTTAAGTGGTACTATTTGTCAATTCGTTTTTAAATATACATTTTAAACGTCAATTGTCCCTGGTGTACATGTATAATCAACTTTGGGTATTTTACACCATTTCCAATATGAGAAAAATAGGAAAAGAGGTAGCTCAGTTACTGAAGAATTTACTTCTATTAAAAAATATACTTCCTCAGGAATGCCTGATTTCTTTTTTATTTAAACTTCCTCAGGCAGTCCTTACGATTTTTTTTCTATAGAAAGTTCCTGACATTCTTGTCCACAGAAAAAAAGAAGCTTTCCTGACTATTTTCTTTTAGAAACAAATCTTGAAGGGCAGTTCAATGAGGCAATATAAGTCTTTTTATAAAAGAATTATTCCTCAGGCATTCCTGACGACGATTTTTTGAAGAACTTCTCTATAGAAAAAGAAACTTCCTCAAGCAGAATTCCTAACGAATTATTTCTTTAGAAATATAGGCTTTCTCTGGAAGCATTTCCGATGAATTTTTCTTTAGAAAAGCGGACTTCCTCAGAAAGCATCCTGAAGATTTTTTCTATAGAAAAAAGGACTTCATCATGAAGTAGTCCTGAAAATTTCTTTTTCTATAGAACTATTTTTTAACTATTTTTTATAGAGGAACGTCTTCCTTTTTTAGAAAAATGGACTTCATCAGCAAGCATTATTAACGTTTTTTTAGAAAAAAAGGCTTCTTCAGTTTTCCACAGAAAAAAAGAAAAAATGAAGCATTCCTTTAGAAAAAATCATCCTCAGGAAGAGCCGTCCTTACGAATTTTTTCCATAGAAAATCTCATCCTCAGGAGTCATTCCTGAAGATTTTTCTATAAAAAGGGGCTTCGTCAGGTTCCTGTCGAAGTTTTTTTCTGCAGAAAAAAGGGGTTTTAGGTTTTCTATAGAAAAACTAAATTCACCAGGCAATTCTGTTCTCTTAGGCATTCCGAAAAAAAATCTTCAAGTTTCTGACTTATTGGTTTTCTTTCCTCTGAAATGGGGTTTCTGATTTTTTATGGCAGTATGTTTTCGAGTGCATTGTACCTTCAATATTCCCGTGTATATTTCGTATTTGTTTCCAACACTCTTCAATGTTCTCCCCCTAGAACACCGAACACCATTGTCGCGCCCCACATGTACGTGTGTAGTTGTTTTGATTGACAGTTAATTTACAAAAATTTACATAATAGAGTCAAATACAATTTTCATGTGTTTCGTTTTTTCGCTCTCTTCATTTTGTCCCTGGTGGTGATGTTACACGAACTCCAGAGGATGTCAATCCATTTGAGCAGCAACGGCAACACTTGTGCCCCACCAAAAAACCGAAACAGAACAAAAAATAAATGAATAAAATTTTATTATTAAAATTTAAATTCGATTTTTTTCTATCGAATGCAATGTAAATGAATGCAAAGCAAGGAAACCAAGAAAAAAAAACACACACACAATTGAATAGAGTTGATTTTATTCAGTTTTTTTCCTTCTTCTTCCACACTTTATTAAAGTACTGGTTGGCATCAGGTGTGGATAATTTAATTTTAGTTTACATTTTATTATTATTATTTTTCGTATAACTAATTTTGATTTTCAGTACAAAAATAAATAGAGTGGAAATGTATTCGATAACAATTGCTCTTAAAAATATTTCCTTTGCTATATATCCAAATTTTTTAACTAAGGATTTTAATCAGTTCAAATCTCCATTCTAAATCCCACATATGCTTTAATTGAATAAATCGTTATGTAAAGATATATTAAACAATAAATTAAAGTCGAATCGATTAAATAGCCATGCTAAATACAAAACACAACAACTAAACTTTGATGTGGTCTTGTAAGAAATCATTCTCCCCAAAGCCCCCCTTCCTTTCCACTTTAACCCAAGGAATTAAATTGTCAGCTACTTATTCATGTATTGATGTCCTCATCGATTACATGAACATATTTAACTTTACTTTGGATACCCTCAGTACCGCACACACACAAAGATACAATAGCAACAAATATGTAAATTCATTTGGTTAGAAAACGAGGTCAGTTGTTACAAAATTGCATATATACATACTCATACAACAGAGCGAGAGAGACAAATACGCATATATTTATATGTATGTATGTTGTGATTTTTTGTGTCTTTACTTCGTTGTGTAAATAGAGGGAGAGGCAGGTACACTCATCCTTTTCGTTTTTCACATTTTCTCTCTATTTATTACTCGGCAAGTACTTCATTATAAGCCTTCAACATGAACGAGTGGTAAAATAATGTTCCTGCCACACAGGGTATACAGTATTAGGTCAATGAAAAGGGACACATGGAACACGTAGCCTCACTGCTTCATATTTATATTATTTTTAGTAACTAAGAGATTTGTGTTATAGGAAAGAGCTTACCCCAATATCTAAGAGACTTTTTTCAATAGGAAAAATGTGTCCCCAAGAAAAAAAATTGTCCTCAGTAACTATGGGAATTTTTTGCTATAGGAACAAACATGTCCCCAATATCTGAGAATTTTTTTTTTATAGGAAAATGGTCTCTCTCAGTCAGGCTTATAAAAAAAAACTTACTACCTCAGGAAAGACTTCCTTAGAAGGATTAACTATAAAAATCATACTACATCAGTCAGGATTCTGACTTTTTTATAGAAAAGGGGGTTCCTCAGAAATAATTCCTCACGATTTTGTTCCTATAGTAAAAGGTTGAAGAATTTCTCCTACATGAAAAAAATATGCCTCAAGGATTTTTTCTACAGAAAAGTCTTTCTAAGACAGACCTGATGAATTGTGTTTTATATGCAAAAAAAGTCCTCAGGAAGGATTTTCAATAAAAAAATACTACAACAGGGAAATTCCTGACGAATTCACGGTATTTTTTCTACAGACTTCCTCAGGAAGATATTTGACGTTTTTTTTCTATAGAAAAAAACAGTCTTCATCAGAAAGAGTTTCTGACGAATTTTTTCTATAGAAAAAAATGACTTTCTCAGAAAAAGTCTACATCAGTCAGGATTCCGACTTTTTTTTATAGAAAAAGAGCCTTCCTCAGGAAGAGTTCCTGACGAATTTTTTTCTATAGAAAAAGAGCCTTCCTCAGGAAGAGTTCCTGACGATTTTTTTTCTATAGAAAAAGAGCCTTCCTCAGGAAGAGTTCCTGACGAATTTTTTCTATAGAAAAAGAGCCTTCCTCAGGAAGAGTTCCTGACGAATTTTTTTCTATAGAAAAAGAGCCTTCCTCAGGAAGAGTTCCTGACGATTTTTTTCTATAGAAAAAGAGCCTTCCTCAGGAAGAGTTCCTGACGAATTTTTTTCTATAGAAAAAGAGCCTTCCTCAGGAAGAGTTCCTGACGAATTTTTTTCTATAGAAAAAGAGCCTTCCTCAGGAAGAGTTCCTGACGATTTTTTTCTATCGAAAGTAAGCCTTTCTCAGGTCCTGACGATTTGTTTTTTATAGAAAAAAGACTTCCACTGGTCCTGACGATTTGTTTTCTATAGAAAAAAGTCTTCGTCTGACGTATTGAAGAGTTCCTGACGAAGTTTTTTTTATTTTTCCCTAGCTACTGAGGAATCTCCTATACAAAAAAGTCTTCCTCAGCAACTGAGGAATTTTTTTCTATAGAAAAAAGTCTTCTTCAACAACCTAAGGATTTTTTTCTGTAGAAAAAAACCTTCCTCAGCAGCTGGGGATTTTCTCTATAGAAAAATCATCAACAATTGAGGATTTTTTATTCAACATGAGGCACTCCTGACATTTTTTATAGGAAAAAGCCTTCATCAGGAAGCATTCTTTAAAAAATTGACATCCTCAACTTCCCGATGATTTTTTCTATAGAAAAACTAGAAGAATGTCTGACATTTTTCTGGCTACCCAAAAAGGACATTTTAATGTTCACTTTAAATTGCAAAAGTTGGCCGTGTATGCCATCCTCACAAGCCAAATACAAAGGGGGACACTAAAAATGACTAAGCGGGCTTAACAAAACTTTTTGTTGATATCAAATAATATAGAAGAAGACCAAAGAGAGAAATGGCCAGAAACAACAACAGAATATGGGTACTACTTGCCTGACTGCCTGCATGCTTAGGGGTAATGGTGGCCAACATATTTTGCTGCCGGTGGTGGTCTGTCCGTTGCTTCGGTCGGCACTGCACAGCAAACTTTGCTGCTTCATTCATTTTTCTCTGTTCTAACATTAGTGGTTGCGGTTGCAATTTCTAACTTTTCGGAAAATGCAACACCACACAATGTGATGAGAAACTAGACAACAGCAACAACAACACCAGCAGCAACAACTGTTAGTAAGGATAACAACAAAGAATACAAATAAAATGAAGAGACGAGAAGAAAACTCAAGTGAATGAGAATGAAATGAATGCATGCAAGCAATGAAACCAAACACATTCACACAAAACATGAAGAATAGAAAAAAATACTTGGCAACGACAACAACAACAGAAACAAAAACCAAAAGAAAGACGATATGAAAGGGTAATTTTTCTTTTGGCCAAATAAATCCAATTAAAACGTCATTTATGTTTTGTTGCCATCGTTGTTGTTGCTGGTGCTGCTGCTTCTGCTTCTGCTGCTGTTAAGAGTGCTTACGGCCCTAAAGTCCCCTCTTTTATTTAAGCTAGTAGACCCCTGGGGCCGCCTAACCACTTCAAACGGGAATAGAAACGTGAATTAAAGAGAAAAAAGACAAAAAACACACACACAGCAAATGAAAACCCTACCTTCAATTTACATTCACCGGAACTGAAAATGAAATAGTAACTGAACCAAGAGGAAAAAAAACGACAAAGAAGAAAACAACTCTAGCTGAAGATGAACACAAATACAATATGGCCTGAAGTGGCTTTATGCCCACCACTGGCAGGGAAGGTTTGTGATATTTGCTTCTGGGGCGGGAGAAGGAAAATATGTGTGGATAGGAAATTAAATCCACGGTTTTAAATTTAATTCCTGAAAAAAGAAAAAGGACTTTGCAAAAAACCCGCGGATTTAATTAAAACCATATAAAAATCCCAGAGGGTGAGGGATTTAATAACCAAAAATTGGATACAAAAATAGATACATTTAAGAGGAACTGATGAAGACATTGACAAAGAAATCCTCATATACTGAGTTTTTTCTATAGAAAAAAATCAGAAATTTTTGTAGAAGAAAATAAGTCAGCAATGAGTAAGACTTTTTTTCTATAGAAAAAAAAATCGTCAGGAACTGAGTAAGACTTTTTTCTATAGAAAAAAATTTGGCAGGAACTGATGGAGACTTTTTCTATACAAAAACATTTGGCAGAAAATGAGGAAGAATTTTTTCTATAGAAAAAATTTCGTCAGGAATTCTTCCTGAGGAAGTATGATTTTACTATAGAAAAAACAATCGTTAGAAATTCTTCCTGAGGAAGTCTGTTTTTTTCTATAGAAAACAATTCGTCAGGAAATCTTCCTGAGGAAAGGCCTTTTTCCATAAAAAAATTCGTCAGGAATTCTTCCTGAGGAAGGCCCTTTTTCTATAGAAACAATTCGTCAGGCATGCTTCCTAAGGAAGGCCCTTTTTCTATAGAAAAAAATTCGTCAGGAATGCTTCCTGAGGAAGGCCTTTTTTCTATAGAAAAAATTCGTCAGGAATTCTTCTGAGGAAGGCCTTTTTTTCTATAGAAAAAATTCGTAAGGAATTCTTCCTGAGGAAGGTCATTTTTCTATAGAAAAAATTCGTAAGGAATTCTTCCTGAGGAAGGCCATTTGTCTATAGAAAAAAATCGTCAGGAATGCTTCCTGAGGAAGGCTTTTTTTCTATAGAAAAAAATCGTCAGGAATGCTTCCTGAGGAAGGCCTTTTTTTATATAGAAAACAATCGTCAGGAATTTTCCTTGGGGAAGTCCCTTCTTCTATAGAAAAACATTCGTCAGGAATTCTACCTGAAGAAGTCTTTTTCCATTGAAAAAAATTGTTATTTATGTGTATATCCATTTATAAGGCAAAGAGGCTTTTGTTATTCTTTAAATTGTTAGCATTGTGCACATCCTGCAATCAGGATTATATGGTAATGAAGACAAACCTTTCAATTTATTGTTTTCTCCTTTGTACGCCCATCATTTTTAGGCTCAACTGAAACAAAAATAACAAAAACAAAAGCCTCTGGAAATAAGCACATGTGTTTTGGCAAGGATCGGTATAAAAGTACCAATCATCTTTTTGGGAGATTTTACTTTGAACATTGAATGAAAATCCTTTTGCCAATTGTTTCCCCCTGTCATTAATCATTTTGTCCTACAATTTTGGTATCTTTGTTTTTAATTTATTTTCTCATTGTTTTGTTTACATCTCCTCATCATTTTGTTGTTTTTTTTTTTCTTTCCTTGCAGCTGGCTTCATCTGGTGATGGCCATAAAAACGACCCACCGTTGCCTTTGGATTTAGATGTTCCCTACAATGATGACTACAGTATTTACCATAATGCGGATACAAATTCCGAATCCACTTCAACCGGCGCTACATTAGCGAATACCAATAGAGAACAACAGCGTAAAACGCAACAAGCATCTGTGATAACGTGGCGTAATGCTGGCCAGCAGCAACAGACAAAGGTGTCAGATACGTCAGCCAACACTCCACCGCCACCATTTACACCCTCCTCCTCGGCCTCATCATCGTCGACGAAATATAATCGCAACCGCAACATAATTGTTAGTAATTATAATCCTAACAATAATAACAACAACAACAATGGAGACATTTCATACAACAACAATAATGTCAGGAAAACCTATACCAAACATAAAAATATCATTGTCAGCACCTACAACAATCGTTCATCATCAGCGTATGACGATTTCAATGACAACAATGGCGGCGGAGGATTCTTTAACAACAATTGGACCACAATTGTTATGGGTAATGATCGGCCCATACACAAGACCCATGTTGAGATAATAACGAAAAATGGTGCCACCAAAAAACCCAATATCATTGTTAATAATTATAATCCGGAAATAATGATGGCACCTAACCCTCACAATCCGAATTTCAATAGCATGCTGATGACCAGCCTGCTAAGCAATCGTGGTGGAGATTATGGTGATTCGCCGAGTAGTGTGAAGTCATTGTATGATCGGAAAATAACATGTATGTTGTATCTGCAAGCCGATCATACATTTTTCCAGAAAATGGGTTCCGATGAAGCGAGTATAGAGGCGATAACGCGACATGTTCAGCGTGCCAATTCGATTTATAAAAATACGGGTAAGTACGATTTTTTAAAATTATTAAAAGAAAATATTTGTTTATAAAATTATGAAATAAAGAAGTTTTTAAATGCCAGCTGAGGTAGAAAATACTTTCATAATCAAGCTAAGGTAGAATGTATTTCATAGACACTCCAAATCTTTAAACTGTTCAGTCGGTAGACATTATAGACAGAGTTTTGCTCTGTTTTCCCCCTGCTACTCCTCTTAGGAGCATATCACTTTTCCACAAAGCATCGCCATCTTACTCGAGTAATTCCTGTATTAATTTCGTTAATCAGGTATTATGATTGGTCTCCTGTAACCTGTCCTAGGTAAAGGCGTTGTCATCTATCGTTGCATAGAAACAACGCATCATTGGATTGGAAGGGAGCCTTTTTTATAGAAAAGCTGAAGGAAGACTTTTCATAGAAGAGCTGTAGGGAGTCTTTATAGAGGAGCTGTAGAGAGTATTTAATATACGAACTGAAGGGAGTCTTTCATAGATGAAAACGAGCTGAAGGGAGTCTTTCGTAGACAAGCTGAAGGGGATCTTTCATAGAAGAGCTGAAGGGAGTCTGTTATTGACGAGCTGAAGGGAGTCATTTATTTATAGTAGTATTTCTTAAAAGAGCTGAAAGGAGTCCTTCTTAGACTGATTCATTATAGTCGCTCTATTGGGAGTTTTTATAGACGAGCTTAAAGGGGTCTGTCGTAGACTGAAAGGAGTCTTTCATAGACTACCAGTAGTACCGAGTCTGAATTATGGAGTGGAAAGTGGACTTCATAGTCTACTTGATATTGATAAACCGGTTCAGACATTTAAAAACCGAGCAGAAAAAATGGGCGGAATCTGCGATATCTGATGAAGGTATCGTGACCCCTTAGATTGCACTTTTGAGAGCTAATTAATGATTTTTTAAGATCGGACCCCGCTACACTGTCTTCGGAACATTGACGGAAAATTTTTTATCACCTCTTTCTCTCGAAGAGGAGATCGCAATTGGTCACCGATAATTTAAAATCATGCGACTTCCTTGATTAATGATTAGGTCTACACCAACTGCCCATCGATAATCGAAACAAATTTTCCACCCCGATTGGTACACCATCAAAATATCGATTTTGAACCACCTATTTCTTAAATGAAATGAAGACGTAGGGTGCCATTCGGCGTATGAGTGGAAGTGGAAAGTGGACATCGATAATTGAAACACATTTTCCACCCCGATTGATACACTATCAAAATATCGATTTTGAACCACTTATTTCTTAAATGAAATGAAGACGTAGGGTGCCATTCGGCGTATGACCCATTAATTCCACATTTTGGGCGATTAAAAAAACGCCGATTTTAGTCGATGTGTGAGATCTCCCATTTTTTCGAATCTTTCGGATTTCTTCAGACACACAAATTGAAGGGTATACCACCCCTTCAAGTCGCCACATGGTCAGTTTTGCCAAAGAAACTGGCGACCATTTGCTTCGAGGTGTTTCTTCTTCAAACAAATTTCGTTGGGTTTGGCTCATCTTTGAAGACCCACACGATTGCTGTTTTCTATGCATGTATATTAACCCTTGCAGTGTAAAAAAAAAATGTCGGAATAAAAATCTAAAATTTGTATTTAAGATCATAGATTGTATAACTGCCATACAGTTTAGAAAAATAGCAATCTTCATTTTAACCGTCGGCCAGTTTCGTCTGTCTTTCAGCAAAAACAAAAACATCAATAGTAACTGTACATAGGATAACCGAAGAATCGCAAAGAAAGAGAGAACTTTTAAATGTCGAATATATTCGACAAAAACACAGAAAGGGTTAATAGTTCGGAAGCTGTGACGATCTTATATATACCGTCTGTGAAATTGTGCTGGTCCAAGGAGAACAAGGCTTTTTAAGAAATTCCTATGTATGCCTTTCATAGTATCCCTCGTATGCATGGAATAGACCTTCTCTCAATGACGAAAGATTTTGGATTCAGTCTATGAAAACATAATTTGTTGATAGACTGGCGCGTCGGTCATCACGAGTCCTTACGAAATGCTCCTACGGTCAATAATTACAAGTTTTGGGTAATTTGTGCGGGACAATCCACCGGATATGCATTTGTACTCTTCTTCACTTCTCGTTGCTGACGTAACCAATAGAACGATTCTGTAGGTACCGTGTTCCCCTTATCATGGAATTTAATGACTCCGTTATTACCAAAATTTACTAGAAAAATACGGGGGTAGAATTGATGAGAGATGACAAATATATTCTTAGAACCTATTTCGAAATTTATTTTCTCCATTTAGACATTCCAAACACTTAGCGTATGTTTTCAATATAAACATTGAATGTAGAAAAAAATGTATTTTTTTCAATTATTTATTTTTATTTCGTCTCTCAAAATCCTCTAAAACAATTCTAAATTTTTGACAATGAGTGCAAATATTGTTATGCATAGCTGGCTGAGCATTTTGGGTGAGTGTGTGTGTGTTTTTTCGGCGACAATTTACATAGAAAAAGCCGCAAAAAATTGCAGATACTCGCAAAAAACCTCGGAAAACAACAACAAATTACTTTGTTCGAAAACTACCCAGGTTTTCTGTTGTTAATGTTTGTCTGTGTGTATTACAACATGAGAAATGATGATGACAAATACCGAAATAGACCACACCAAGGATAATATTTGTTTTACATGTTGTGTAGTGGTCGTCAGCGTCAGAGCGAGAGAAAGCCCCGAAAAAAATAAACCACTACAAAACAAAAGCTAGGACAAAAAAAGAAAACAATTTTTAGAAACTCAATTTTCTAGTCAGGTTTGTTTTTTTGTTAAGTTTGCTTTTTCTGCTCTCTGTCTCTCTCCCCCTCTCTCTGCTCGGCTCTACATTGCATATTGACAATGCAATATGCAAAATGGTGTTCAACACACACAACAGCCAACATAAAAATAATGAAAACCATGGGGCTGAGCAGCAATTTTGTTTTCCATTCGACCTACGAAACATTTTTGTTGCACATATTTCTATTTAGCCGTGGAAAATTGTGATTTTTTCGGTTCGCTATTCTGGGTATTTCGTTTTTGTTTGGACATATTTTTTTCATTGCGGTAGGTGGTGTAGTAAAGTGCAATGCAATGCCAACGGAAAGCGGAAATGAATAAAGTTTGTGCACACAAAAACACACACACACTCACCCATATAAAATAACAACGAAAAATGTTGTTGAGATTTAAATCGGATTTGTTTTGTCACAAACTGAAATTTATTGTGTATTGTGTGTTATACTACTCGCTCATAACAATCTGGAAAACTCACACACACCCAAACACAGAGTTCTACATGGGTACAACGACAAGAACAACACTACATTTAAATTGACCAAACGTAGATTGATTTTTCCACTTTCAACTCTACGTCCATATTGTTGTTATCATTGTTTTTATTTTTTTGCTTTTTTATTGGGTGTATATATTGCTGTCCTTTCGCATTCTTTTCGTTTATTTCATATTTTTTGTTTGTCCACTTTTTTTATTGCAGACTTTAACAATGACGGTAAACCCGATAACATCACATTCATGATAAAACGCATTAAAGTCCACAACATGAATGCCATCAAGGATCCATCATATCGATTTCCTGGAAATTATGGCGTTGAGAAATTTTTGGAATTGTTTTCAGGTAAGTTTTTTTTTCGTGACGATTTTTTTTTTATTTTGGGAGGGAATAAAGTTAAGAGTTGTGTTAAAGGTTGATATAAGTTTGAAAGATAATGGAAAATGTGAGATGAAAATAATTTGAAGCATTTATTCTTGGAAATAAGAAATAATACAAACAAATATAGATAACTTTCATTACGAAATGATGGGGTTCATCAGAATACTCCATTAAATAAAAAATATATAATCACCAGCATAAGGATTAATGGGCTAATTAAGGGAACCCCCCATTCTCGATTTTAATTTTTCAAGATTTTCAATGGGCTGGTAAATCAATACCAATGCTTGTTAAGGTTTGTACCTTTGCACACATATAATTGAAGATTTAAAAGAGAAGAAAAATCATTTACAAAAAAAATTTTGTTATTGTTTTGTTGTTGTTTTTTGTAATTAAAGAAAAATCCTTATTTTTGATGGCGGGCATGATAACTCCTCACTGGAACATCGGAATCCGAAAATTCCAACGGTGTTAGAAAGAGTACATGTCTGGCTCTCGTATGAACTAGGATTATTGACTTCGCTCTAAAATCGACAAAACTGAGCAGAGAAAATGGGCGGAATCTGCGAAATCTGATGAAGGTATCGTGACGCCTTAGATTGCACTTTCGAGAGCTAATTAATGATTTTTTAAGGTCGAACCTCGCTACACTGTCTTCGGAACATTGATGATTAATTCCACATTTTGGGCGATTAAAAAAACGCTGATTTGAGTCGATGTGTGTTTTGCTTCGAGGTGTTTCTTTTACGAACAAATTTCGTTGGGTTTGGTTCATCTTTGAAGACCCACACAATTGCTGTTTTCTATGCTATGCTATGGAAGGGTTAATATAAATTAACCCTTCCAGTGTCAAAAAATTTTTGTCGGAATAAAAATCTAAAATTTTGTATTTAAGATCATATAACGGGATTATTGACTTCGCTCTAAAATCAACAAAATGGTGGACCTTTGAAAAAATATTTTTAGCAAAAATATTGGTTTTTTTTACCAAAAACGAAGTTAAAAAATAGGAAAGATCTTTACCGATTGGCTTTATCCTAGTTCATACGATAGCTATACACTTACAGAGAAACGTGTAAAAATTTGGAATCGATTGGGTTGTTAGTTTTTGAGTTATCGTGCCCGCCATTCGCAAAAAATGTTTATAGAAAAACGCGTTTAAAGTTTGAGAAGCCCTTCACCTATATCTTCAAGAGTTCTTGAGATTTTCACTTGAAATTTTGTAGGGACATTCATTAATTAGTGTAGATTCGAGTTATATCAAAAAAGTGGATTTTTTAAGAGTCTGAATGTTTAAAGAATATTTTTGAAGGATCTAAAGAATAAGAAAATTTAGAAGGTCAAATGGGGATATGAAGCGTAGTTTTTTTATAAATATTCTAACTGCCGAAATGGATGATATTGCAAGAGTGGATGTTTGAAGAATATTTTCAAAAGGGACAAAGGATTTTTTAAGAATCTTTTTAAAATAGCAAACACGTTAAAATATATTTTTTGAATAATTTTAGAACAATTTGAAACTGCCTAATAGGCTTTAAAAAAGGACATTTTATTTTGAACAAAATGTTTACAAAAATCAATGAAATATTTTTAGAAGAATCTAAAGGGGTTTCAGATGAACCTAAAGTAACTAGTTTATCAAGCGTAGATTTTTAAGAATTGTCTTAAATTTTCAAAAGGACCAAGGATTTGTTTTTTCAAATTTTTTTGACCAAATGACTAATATTTTTCTAATGTTAAAGGGCCAACGCTTTATTAGTTTCTATACCCTTCACCGCACTGTGGTACATGGTATTATGTCTATGTGCATATGATTGTAACAGGAAACGAGGTAGACACAGGGTTCCTTTTGAGAATATGCATAGAATTACTTTCTGAGTCGATTTATGTATGTCCGTCTGAAGATGTTAAATTGTAAACAAAGTACAGGTCGCATTTATGATCCGATTTGGATGAAATTTGGCACAGCTCATTTATTTGGCCCAACGACGAACCCTATTAAAGTTGAAGTAGGTAAATAGTGCACCAAAGTCCCTTTATAGCCTTGCACGAAACTTTGTGTGTCAAGTTTCGAGAAAATCGGTTCAGATTTAGATATAGCTCCTAAATATATTTTCATTCGATTTAAGGTAATTGGGGCACCAAAGTCGCTTTATACCCTTCGGTTTGCACAAAATTTGGCATAGCTTACTGAATTGAGTATAGAATGATGTGTGGTAAGTTTCGGGAAAATAGGTTCAGATTTCGATATAGTTCGAACATATACATATATATTCGTCCGATTTTACATACATCTGCTCAAATAAAAATAAATTTAGCATTGTAGAAAGACATTAACATGTTCCCTCGAGGGCACATTGACATGCAGTTGTAAGGATACATATGTACAATATACCCCAAGTGGTGAAGGGTATCATATATTCGGCCCAGTGCGACTTTACTATTTTCATTACTGGTTTAATTTTTTTTAGAACGACGAACTGTCTAATTAGCTTGGATTTTTTAAACCTTAAATTTTTATGAATAGTTTTAGAATGGTATGGAATAGTCCAAATTTAAATTAAAAAAAAAAAAATAAATTGAAAAAAATGAAAAAAGGAATTAAAAAAGAAGAAGCTAATGAGTTGGAAATATTTTTAGAATGCCCAACGGACTAATACCCATAGTTTTGTTAAGAATATTTAAAAAAAAAACCGACAAATTAATAAGATAATATATTTTACGAATATTTTTACAAGGTTAAACGGTTTGGAAGGAATGTGAATAAAGAAAATACTCTCTGAATGACTTATGGTGGTGGCAAAAATCCAATTTCTGTTATTTTGAGCGCTTTGAGTATAAAAGACAGAGGAGGTTCCTGTTGGTTCCTGCTTTGGTATAACCATCATATAGAGTGCCAGATCCATTTTAAGTATCATAGAGTCTCGACCGATTTTCAATCCGATATATCTGACCCTACATTAGGGGTTTTTTTGCAAATTCCACCAATTTTTAATGGGAAATGTTCATAAAATATCAAAACCCCTGATTGTGGTTCGATATTGATAACGCATGGTATAAACGCATATGTATAAAATCCTAAAAATACTGTAATTTAAAGGGCAAAGTTATGTGTGGGGCTATATCAAAAGGGTGGCCAACATTGATTACATCGTGTAGAAAATATGCCTAATGAAGGACCGATGTATCTCAATTTCGAACCTAACATTTTTGTTTTGTATCACAATGTCTTCCCTAACGCTAAATATTAAAAATGGATATCCTCGAACGTAGAATCATTACAAACGAATGGTTAAATCGTCTAAGAATTCCATGTAGGTTAAACTAACAATTTCAAGTATAGAATATTGTATGGTGAAATGCATATAGTATGGGGACTACCCAAAAAAGCGGAACATACTATTAATAGGGGTTATATGGGGACTTCACCCAAAATAGAGCGAATGTTTAAATTTTTTGGGAGGGAGATAAGTTAGCAAATACGACTACAAAATACTTAGGGGGTAACTTTATATGGGAGCTATATCTAAACCTACCCCTGTATTCTGTAACTTTTTAACAACATTCGATATTGTCTATTTTACAACAATTTCATTTGTTTGTTTTATTGTTTTTACAATAACAAAAGAAATTTAAACAATATCGAATATTGTTAAAAGTTACAGAATAGACCTACTGGACCGATATACCTACATGTAGACAAAAGACAACTCTATGCTAAACATTGGCAATCTATCTCAATTCGTTTAGAGGTTAGAGTGATTACAATAGACAGACGGACATGTTTCATAGAATTCGCTGATCAAAAATATATACTTTAAAGAGTTGTGAGGGTGAATTAATTGGTCATAAATTTCGGCTAAGACTCTGTAAGAGCCATATAAAATTAGGATATTCTATCACATTCCAATTTTTTTTAAATAAAATTTAAGTCAAACTTGACCGAGCAATGAAAATAATCAAGGAGGCATTGCTTACAGGCAACGATAGGTGGCAGTCCCATCACCTAGGGCAGACTATAGCAGAACAATCATCTGCTTAGCTGAAAAAAAGCAATGATTGTACGATAAAACTTATGTAAGTATATGGTATCTTATCTATAGGGAACACAAAACTGAAAATTACAGCCGAAAAGTTATTTTCATGCTTTTTACTATGTTCTTTTCACTACCACAAATTTGCACTATCTTGCGCGATTAGTCCTTGTGTCAATTTTCTTAATTATTGTATTTCTGTATTCGAGTTAAGTATTCATCTATTTAAACGTATGTAGTGGGCCGCCATCTATCGTTGTCTAGAAACAACGACTTCTCGAATTGTGTTCAGGGGTTGTTGTCCTTGCTTACTTAGTATTGCCTATGTTAAATTGGCCACTGATATTTTTAGTACGTTACATATGTTTTAATAGTAAAATCGCTGAATGTAATACATCAGTATATATACATAAAAAGTCTTTATATAAATATAAAATAATTACTTATTTATACTCACGTGGTACTTCGAATTATAGTCATATAGCAGGTCCACTTTCTTACAACCAATAACTTCCGAGCTCTCTGAACAATGTAAATCCCTTATAATATATATCGTAAACTTTATTACCTAACTACTATCATGAACTTATATTATCCACTACAAAACTTCACCTTCCATATTACTTCGCATGATGAAAATACGTAAATATATGTCAAATGTTAGCATGACAACTTTTCTGACTGCTCGAAATAATTTATAATTGCAAAATTTGCAAAATATTCAACAATAACCGCAGTCAAAATGCAATAAAGTTAATAAAGGCGCGCCTATACTCTCGTATACATATCCAGATGATGATGATATCCGCCGCAGATATTACGTACGTTAGTAGTAACAAGCGTGTGGTTTTATAAAATTGCATTACTTTTTTGTTTGTTCGACGACATGGATTTATTTATGTTGTGTAGATATTGGGGTGGATACACTTT